AACCTAACAATTTTCACAGCTTGTACTCTCTGTGTAAGACTTTGAAAAATATTTTCAGAATTTTTCATAATGTATTCCTATTTTTCTCCAATTTTTGTATTTATAATGGACTAAAAACAGGAAAAATAGTTTTACTCATCCAAAAATTATGAAAATTTATCAGAACACCTTGTAGTACATTAGGAGGCTACATAAAAGTTTTGATGATTTTTCTCTTCCGTATACTATTTTTTTTCTATTTTCCCAAGATTAAATACACTTAAACCCAATTTTTATTAGAATAAATGCTAAAAAATCGTAAATTTGGGTTAAACTGTTTATAAATTTATTTTTATATTTTTCTCAGCTTAATAATGTTTAATAACAGTGTTACAAAAATTTTGGGCAATTTTGGAAACTGTTTTCTATTTATTTCACTTGTTATTAGAATAAATGCTCAAAAATCATAAAATTGGATTAAACAATTTATAAATTTATTATTATATTTTTCCCAGCTTAATAATGTTTAATAACAGTGTTAAAAAAATTTTGGGCAATTTTGGAAACTGTTTTCTATTTATTTCAATTTTTATTAGAATAAATGCTCAAAAATCATAAAATTGGGTTAAACGGTTTAGAAATTCATTTTTATATTTTTCTCAGCTTAATTATGTGTAATGGTGGTAGTATAAAACGTTTGGTGTATTTTGTTAAGTGACTACTATTTTTCATGAATTTTTATCTATTTAGAGAATTAAATATATGACAAATTGTGAAAAATAGTTAGACGAATCAAAAATTCAAGAAAAATTATCTTGAGGTCATTGAATTCAACTAAAACTGAAATGCAAAGTTTGGGAAATTTTAAAACTAAATTGATTTAGTTTTAAAATATTTAACCATTAGAACGCCTCTTAAAATGTTAAATATTAGCATTTCATTAATGGGAATTTTCCACTTAAATTGTTATATAACAATTGACTCATTGAAATTTAATTTTCACAGAAAAACATTTATAACTTATTAATATTAAATCTTGACACACTCTTGGCATAATTCTATTGTAGTAGTAAAGTATACTAGTGTTAGATTTCGATTAGAGACTCACTAGCGAATACCATTATTGTAGGAATCGATTGTGGTATGAGTAGAGTGTATTCAAGGCACCATTTGCATCATCTCAATGCATATTGTGAGTATTCATGCACTCCCCTATTTTCAGTTTTTAAATATTTTGGGGGTGGAAAAGCATGTCCTAAACTACTTTTTATGTTCGTTGTATTTATTTTGACTTGTATGAAACTTGGTTGCTATATTTCGTATGTATGTGTATGTTACTTAAATTCATGAGGACTATATCGCGGTTAAGTCCCTGGAATCTCTAGACACAACTCATTAACTCTTTTGAGCCTATGGTTATTATGGATAGCGCTATCAGGAGGTAGACAACTCCTCACTCGCACGATTCGCTTCAGTGCATTTTACCATTTTATACACTATGTTTGCGATACACATAGTAGTCAATAGGGCACGATTCGGTCATTAGGCTTGGGTTGTGAACTCATGAATGGAAACTTGATGCACATACTATTCTTTATGCACATACGAAACTTGTATTCCGATGTTAGCAACGACACTTGTATACTTATTTTAGCAATGAAACTTGAATACTTATTTTAGCAACGAAACTCATTACTCATTATAGCAATAAACTTGTTTATTAATTATAGCAATGAACTTTGTTTCTCATTACGACAACGGACTTTTATTACTGAAAACTTATATACATGTTTTAGCAATGAAATTGTTTGTTCATTGTAGCAACGAAATTGATTGCTCATTTTAGCAATGAAACTTGTTTACTCTCTTGAGTAACGAACTTTATCTTCCATGAGAATATAAATGTTGCATCTTATTTGGGCAACATACTTTATCTCTCATGATGACAAAGAACTTTGTTTTTACAAACTTATTTACTCCTCTTAACAATATACTTTTATTATTGGAAACTTATATCAAAACTTTGATTTCAATTCATGAACCAATATTATTTTGTTAAACTTGTGAGTACTCACCAATTATTTTTGTAGTTGACACTCGTTTTACATGTTTTTTCAGGAATCATTGAGTAAGTAGCACTTAGGGACACTTCACTGTTAGGAGCATTCACATGTGTTGTATTCCAATTTTCATTGTAATTTCTTTTAAAAGTTGTTCAAACCCATTGTAAATTGTAATGATTTTTAATACTATGGTTGGTGTTGTCTTTTAACTTTTTCTATGAAACCCTTTATACTGCCACGCCTCGTGTTTCCGCTTTAGCGAGGTGTGACACAGTGGAACCACTTTTGAAGACAAGACACCAAATATCATTTCTTGAACTTTGTAATATATGTACGGGAACTACTTTATTTGATAACATGCAAAAACTTGTAATGTATTTTGATATCAATTATCATCCGGTTCATGTAACTTATCTAATCATATGGTATGATGGTTGTTTATGTACTTGTGTTTCAATGTATTCCATTATTGTGATATTGTGTTCTCGCTCCACCCTTAGATGTTTCGGTCATCTGGTTTGGGGGTGTAACACGTCGATTCCAATGAAACCGATTGTAACAACAACAACAACGACAAAAATTCTCCTCAAGTCAATGTTGACTTATCGAAATTGCAAAAGAGAGGAATTTCGATTGATGAAGGAGGTTTGAGTTCTGCGATTGCCAATCCAACAACAACAAACAATCCCAAAGATAAAGGGAAAAGTATCCTAGTGGAACCTTCCCCTAAAGAGAAGAAGAGACTGCAGGAAATTAAAATTGAAAGGTAAAGGCAAGTGAATAGTATTCTAAATCAAAGGGTGAATGATCCTCCAGGCTTGAACAACGGTGATCCTAACAAGGCTTGGTGTTATGAAACTATCAAGATTATTGTGCTTGATAATGTGGAGGAATTTATGAAGAGACCTAAGAGAAGTTATGACACGAAAATACCAACTTCAATCAGCTTGATTTTCCTATAAATCATATGATGTTTGCTTTCAACCAAATCAAAATTGTTGAGAGTTTCAAACACAATGATGAAGACAAAAGGTTGAAAATTCGCTTTCACGCTGTTCTGGGTAAAAGTGAAGAAGAAGTTCGGTCACTAGTGAAGATTGTAAAGGTCATTTTGATTGTCCTAGATGTACTTTTTGAAGGGTTGATGCAGAATTTTCGATATTCTGTGGTGCGAGCAAATAATGTGGCTTTCGAGATCACAATTATAGATTTTCTATTGATGAATCTTAACGATCTCATCACAGTTTCTAAGATCTTGTGTGAAGTGGATTCTTCACAAGTTGCTGAGGAATATCAGAATGCATTTATCATTGGTTATGCTCACAGCAAGGTGTTCATTGATTGCTATTATGATTATTTGGCTGTCACAGATACTGAACTAGCCATGGCAATCAACAAATCATCGAAAGTGCCAAAAGCTCTGTTAAAAGGGAACATGAATATAGAGAAATTTGAAGATGGAGAAATCATCCATAAACCCTTTGGGGTTGTTTTCCAAGGGAGGAACAAAAGAGGAAGACTGACGAAGCTCCTTTTTCAAGCGAATGATAATGAGAGGTACACAAACTCTCATTTTTTTGAATATGTTGCTCCGTATCAATAATTGCAGGAAGAACGATAATGAAGACAACGCGGAGATTCAAAAAACCATTCTTTGGTATATGGAGATAAGGAAGGAGTTTCTACGGACAATGAAGAGATTGACTTGAAGTTCCGATTGTTCTCACAAAGGGGGAGAATGTAGAGTGGAAATATGTTGCGAGAGTCAAAAGTAGTGTCTTTGTGTTAGCATCTGTAAGTAGCGAAATTTTAAAGACTTTCATTATCGTTATCTATTTACAAGGGGCATCAGATTTTCGCAAGTAATGTCTAACACTTGTATTTTTTTGTCCGTGAGTACCCTATAAATAGGGTAAGCACTTAGGGATTAGAGGAAGAACTTTCTCACATATTCACTTGTACTCGAAATCTCTTTGTATTGTTCAAGACAACTAATTGAGCTGAAAACATATCTTATTTAGATCTATGTGTCATTTCTTTCCTTCTTTACATTGATTGATTCAAACACAATTCGTTTCAATCATCAGTGCCTACTACGGCTTTTATGTAGATTACTTCGACTAAAAGTAATATATTTTCATTTTTATTTTGATAAACAAATATTTATACTTTATTATTTTTAAAAAGAGACATAGATGAACTCATAAATTTTTCTTTAAAACTCTAAAAGAACCCAAATGCATCTTGATCTTTCATCTCTTCTTATCTTTCGTTTTCCCCTTCACCTTCACTCTGGGTTTTCTCCTTCATCTTCGATTTCAAATGGAAATGAATTCACTTATTAATAATAATAATAAGAATAATCATAATAATAATAATAATAATAATAATAATAATAATAATATGATTAATAAAAAACACAATAAAAGATAGTCACATGGATGTAGGCAACGTGACGAAATGAATAGTCCATTCTTTTGTTTTATAAGAACTTGATTTTACAATTTTAATGACCTATTGTAAAAAAATTAGTGATTAAATCGGGACAAAACAAATAGTTGATTATATTACAATCTGATTTTCTTGTATTTAGCAAAGCTTGTTGTTAGTTAGAAATTTGAATTTATAAACTTTATTAATGTAAAATTATATATATATATATATATATATATATATATATATATATATATATATATATATATATATATATATATATATATGGAAAAGTGAATATACCCTTAAGGGTATATAAGCTTAGGTACCCAAACACACCATAACACATCATTTTGTATGATATAATTATTATAATGTTCTTAAACTTCAACTCCTAACATGATTTACTTTCAATATTTTCGAAATTTCATTATTATCTTTCTTTTACATCAGATCTTTTTGCCGAATACCTACTAGGCTATATATATTGTAGTTGAAAATGAAAATTATGTAAGAGGAAGATAAATGTGTAATTTATAAAAATATTAGAAGTAAATCAAGTTTGAAGTTAATTGATAAGAAAATTAGACAATTAGAATGTATTATATGATACAAAATGATGTAGTATAGTAAGTTTGGGTACCTAAGCTTATGTACTCTTAAGGGTATATTTACTTTTCCCATATATATATATATATATATATATATATATATATATATATATATATATATATATATATATATATATATATATATACCCTTAAGGGTATATAAGCTTAGGTACCCAAACTTACTATATTATATCATTTTGTATTATATATTTAAATTGTAATTGTCTAATTGTTCTTATAATTCAAGTTATAACTTGATTATTTCTAAGATTTTTATAAATTTCACATTTATCTTCCTCTTACATACTTTTCATTTTCAACTATAATATATATAGCCTAGTAGATGTTCGGCAAAAAAATATGATATAAGAGGAAGATTATAGTGAAATTTCAAATATCTTCAATGTAAATCAAGTTAGGAATTGAAGTTTTAAGAACATTATTATAAATTATCTAACAAAACCACTAATTATTATGAGTTTGAGTACCTAAGCTTATATACCCTTAAGGGTATATTCAATTTTCCATATATATATATATATATATATATATATATATATATATATATATATATATATATATATATATATATATATATATATATATATATATATATATAAAAGTTAAAAACTAACGACTAAAATGATTTTAAAATATTTTTTTGAGGTATAATCAATAATGTTTGTATGACATTTTTTTTTTCATTTTTAATTTTAATAATAATAATAATAATAATAATAATAATAATAATTAAATAAACTCGTGGATATGGAATCATGGATACATTTAAGAACCATGAAACTGAAATCCCCATAAACATAGCAGAACGATGAAACCAGCAACTTCCGCTGATTTCTCGAAGCCACTGCCGGGAGGCGTTAGATTTTCCTTGACGATATCAAATTAACACTTTCCGACCGGAGTTGGGAAGCATTTAATCACATTAACATTTTTCCCAATATCCTATTTACCCCCGTCAAAAAGCCCGATCATCATCATCACCACCACCATCATCAAATGCATTGTTTCACCGGCGTGACGAGAGCCATGAATATATCTCTAGTCGTATCAGGTAAGATTTGGGTTTTGTATTTTTTTATTCATTTCTTTCTGCTTTCTATATCAATCGTTTGGTCGGAAATCGATGTTTTAGAAAGCAAAAGCTGTGAAACATAATAAACAGAAACATTGACCGAACTAAAAAGCTAGAAATGAGGTGACGAAGATTCTAGAGAAAGTGTATTTAGTGGGAACCTATATTTGGCCCACCAGCGTTCATAAGAGCCACAACACGAACACAATTAATCTCTGCGTTGACCGCCACTGATGTTGACCTTCTTTGCACGATTTTCTTATTGAAATCGCTTTTTCTTCTTCTTCTTCTTCTTCTGTTCTACTTCTTAAGGACTCGTATTTTAAAATCTCATTTTCATTCTTCTTTCAAGGACTTGTTGTGTACTTTGGATGATCCCAAGTTACCCGGAATCCTACAACATCAAATCCCCAAGTAAGTTTTTGTTCATTTATTTGCTTGTTTAATTTATATCAATACGTTATGTATTCTTCTATACGTCTATTGATTTTTGTTATGAAATTTTCAAAGTGTATCCGAAGGTGAAGGTGAGACAAGAAGAAGAAGATCCACAAGAGTTTCAGAGAATTTATTTGAAGGATTTCCAGTCTCCATCCAATTCCCCTCAACATAAAGATGGTTACACTTACACACCACCAAGGGTTCTCAAGTCTCATCATATTCATATCTCCACTTCAGGCATCTAACTAACGATTTTAATTTACATAATCAAACCTTAGCCATAGACGATGTCTAATTTTCTATATGCTGAATCAGATGCGAATATATCATCATCAAAAGCAGCTTCGAAGGTCGACAGAAAAGTTGCAGAGGGAAATAAACCAAATAATAAGGTCAACAAGAAAATTGCAGAGGTAATTAAGCCAAGTTCTATCCTGCCACCGCGAGCTGTTTTATCGAGTCCAGGTACTATATATTATCCGTATTCAACCCAATTTTGTTCAAATTTTTGTATAATCAGAACATGTTCTATTGTTGTTATATGCATGCACTATTAGACTAATTGTTGTTGGTATGTGGGCAGAGAATGATTTGATGCTCAGAACAAAAAACAAAACAAAAACAGAACGTTCAGAATCGAAGAATCATAAGCTGAGTCAAAACACGCATGTCAAGTGCAAGAAGTCTTATGAACTCGAGAAGAAAAACAGTCCATGGTCATGGAAATGATTATTAGATGTGTGCAACGGATTTTGTTTTATATTTTTTTTTATCATTAAAGGTTTATTGACACTCAACTAACCGATGCTCATACTGTAATATAGATACGCTTTGGTTTTGTTTTTAATATTGGCACATCTGTATTGTAAAACAATGAGCTTATATATCGACCATTTGAAAGAAAGGTACTTGGTTCAGTTTTTAAGTAGAATAGATGTCACGGGTGATTACATAATCTCTGAAAAAATCCAACATTTGAGCATGTATTTGGTTACGAAATGATTAAATATAGACCCATATGAATTATATATAATTATTCTCATATTACAACAGCAATAAGTACCCATCGAAACGATTAGTACAAAAACACGAATAACAACACTCTAGCATGGGGCCAGAGCAACTACAGCACAGGCTCTGCACCTACAGAAACAGCACCAACATGCTCGCACTCTTCATTTATTTCCCACAGAAAGCTAGCATATGCTGCAAGAATATTACTGAAACAAAAAAAAATAAATACCCTTTTTCAATGGCATAATGCTTAGACATGATATTGAGATTATGTTTGTTACATGTTACATGCACATTGGGATTGGATAAAGCTTTATGGGGTTATTTTAATCATTTCCAAACAAAAATATGTACTTTTTGTCCAATTAATATAGTCCCGGACCTAATCTAGTGTATGCTAAACACAGTATAAACTTGTACTGTATATATAGAAATGAAATTTGAGGTTGTGGAGTTATAAGTGGATACCAATCTCCATGAGCAACAAGAGCAGCTTTCTCAAAGTAACTCAAGGCTTTATCCTGGTCACCATGAATCTCCAAGACAAACTTAGCATACTGCATCAGAGTTTGACCATCATTAGGGTCTTCAAGTGTAGCACGCAACAAGTAATCCTCAGCTCCAGTAAGATCACCCCTGGACTGTAATCATTAATCATACTCAAAAACTTACAATCTGGTGAAAATTTTGGGAAATGAAAGAACGAAAGAAAGAAAGAGAATGAATGATGACTCTCACCTGTAAAAATTGGGCGTAATTCCTCAAGGCGAGAGGATTGTAAGGATGTTGATCAACAATCATCTTATCATCGAACATGGTTGGTGTAAACTCAGTGCCACCTATACCATCGATTCCAAACCCTGTAGCAAGATACATTTTAGGACTCGGTGGTTGAATCTCTTCATTCTTAAACCCATTTGATTCTTCATCCTCCACAATCAATCCCATACTTCTCTCTGCAAAAGCGAATTCACCACAACTGTCCAATTGTTTTGAACTTTTCGTCTCTAAATCCCCTTTCTCATTTTGAAGACATCCATCTTCATCTGCATATATGCAGAAAGATGGCTCGGTGTGCAACATTGAACGGAAAAAGATATGAAATAGATGAAAGATTGAAGATTTAATGGAGTTGATGAGCTTCTATGAAGCGTTTGAGTAAGATTCAATCAATAATTCAAATAAATTATGAAATTCTGAATAAAGAAGGAAAGATTAATTGCAAAAGTAGTTCCCGTTAGTGGATTCACGTGAGGATTACTTGGTTGGGTTCCCCGTGCATTGACCTTATTGTGATGACAGATGGAAGGGTATTTATTCAAAGAAAGTAACAAACATTATCATTGTCTAAACATTAACTTATTCTGTACAAACTATAGATACCCAAAAATAGTAATAAAAATTTCTTACAATTATTTATTTATTTTGAAAAGCACTTCTTCCATGCTCTGTGAGGAAGGCATTGATATCTTGTATATAAATGAGGGATCAAGAGAACATGCCCTATCATGTCTTGTCTTGTGTGCCCCAAAGAGCTTATAAATCACATAGACTACTAATTAACACAATTTTATCAAACAGACCCAAAATTACAAACAGAAAGATGATAAACGGAATAAAGTCAATACAAGAAGAAATCAAGGTTAAGCAATCCCTCCTCAAATGAAAAAATATAGACCAGAAACAACTCATTTGAAGATGCCGGATACAGTTGCTCTACTAAAATTGTAATAAATAGGAACTTAATATATACACGCTAATATTATCACATGAAACGACTAAGATTGGTGATCCTAACATATGAAAGTCTACAATAAAACATACTACATTCTACATACATGTATCTAAACTTGTCAGCAATTGCATACAGCCACTTTATCTCTGAAAATGGCTGAATATATTATTCCCATCAGATTTTGAAAACTGCTCACAATTTGACAACATGACACGAAATTGGTGGAAGCCTTTTCTGAATCACAGCATTGAAAACGTTGCAAATCTTTCGACACAACATATTTACGGCTTCTACACCTTGTACCTAACAAGAAAGCAACAAAGTAAGCAACAAAGTTAATGTGAAGATTAGCATATACTTGTTAATCCTTATCCAATGGTAAGTTTCATAATAATTTATATATTATACAACAATGTTTGTAGTATATATATTATACTGATTAGATGGGAAAAATAAAAATATTCCATTAACAAGGTAGGAAATAGCCAAATCAATATGATCAAACTTAATGGTGACATAAATTGTAAGGTTAAATGCAAGAAACGGCAATGCACTTTCAAGTTATTTGTATATTGCAGCATCCTACTTTTATTTCTTTCTGTAACAACATTTTATTTTCAATATTTTCCTTATTAAGTCATTGTACTTTGAAGAACCTACCAAATTTTAAAATTGTACTTTGAAAAATCTTCCCAATTATAGCAGTGAAAATTGCTTTGTATCTGGATGACGTTGCTATACATGGGTCGAGTTTTACAAAGTACAGTGCTGTAATAAGAAAAAAATGTAAGTAGAACAATAAACAAATAGATGAAAGTAGATTGTTATTTCTTGCATTTAAAGAGCTCAGACCATAACAAAAAAGGAAAAACTTTCGATAACGTGAGAATCTAGTTACCTCAGAACATGATGCATCCAAGAGTCTGCAAGATAAAAAAAAAAAAAAAAGAGAGAGAATTGATTTAATTAGTAATGGATAGCTTCCCCATCCACTCATCAGCCTGTCCATAATCAATACTAAGCTCGCGTAATGGAGGAATATTCTCCATAGCAAAAAGCATAAGATGAGGAAACGCAAGATTCGAGTGATCATACAACACCAACTGCACCAACACATTTGGAGACGAACTATGACTCATATAACACGCAAGATTCCTCATTCTTGAAACATCCATCGCAAAATCCAAAGGAGGGACACAAGGGTATGATGGTTTTACATAATCAGAAAATATTTGACTCAAATCACCCCATTCTGCCCATCTCTCACTGAATCGATTCGGATAAATTAAACTATCACCATTCATGGTAAAAAGTTGTGCTTGCTCTCTTGTAAGAACAACCCCACTATATTCACAAATAAAAGACCCCGCTTGTATCAAATCTAGTGATCTAACTCCCCAACCGGTTTCCCTTGATCTAAAAACTTCAAAACGGTTTCTCACACCCTTTTGGCTTACACGGTTTTGACAATTAGGAGGACAACGACAGAAAGGTCCACATTCGAATATCAGTGGCTTCCCTCTCACAAGAAGACCGTTTGAATCATAAGCAAACTCACCACCATTTTTCTGAGCACAAAAACAATCTTTTGAACATCCCGAGACACACATGCACCCACCTCCTACCTGATGATACACAAAAGGGGGGAAAACACTTGTCTTTAAGTAGTCATAGTACATTGGTTCGTGATTGTTGTCAATGTCATTGAATAGAAACACTGGGATGTTTTCTTTCTTCATTGATATATCAAAGCTAATATATCCAACAGGCCTAACCTCTAAAGGTTTGGTCCTAAGATTCTCTGCAAGTTTAAGAAGTGCACTACCCATTTCAGTTTGGTTTTCCATTCTAACAAGCTTGAACTTATACACTCCAAATCCAGATTTACCCACATCAAACCAAGCTTCGATGATTTTATAAAGTCCGTCATAAACGTATACTTTTCCACTGGGACTACCTTCATACTTAAACCCACGGATTACTCTTACCTCGATTCCATAATGCATGCTTCTTTCCATCGCAAGATTCCCACCTTCCAATTTCTGATGAACGACTTGCTTGTTATTCTTATCTTGTCCGCCATGACCAGTGTAGACAATAACATCGCCAGCATCTTCATCATCTTCATACCCACCGGAAACAATTACACTGGTAGCAATCGGTTCCCTATTCGAGCTTTGATTCGATGTTAAGTAATCAATTCCTGCTTGTACTTGGCCGTGCATCCCAACAACGCATAATTCCATTCTGAAAAAGAATACGTCGCCAACGTGAACCCCAGGAATCTCTCCAACAATCCGCTTGTCTCGATTCAACCATAGGCCGCGGTCTTTCATCACCGCAGAAGCTTTCAGATCGCCGCGGGCGCGGGGAGTAGAGACGATTCCGAAAGACCTACGTTTATCGTCTTCCATAACGACTAATACCCTAAGAGAATCATAAATCATCCTCGTTTTCCTTACCACGTCTCGAAAGTACCTCTCGTCCTCGATTCCGAGGTTTGTAACTCTAACCAGTTCCGACGACCTTGATGGATTCTTGCGGCGAGACGGCACAACGACGGTAGAAAGTTGATTTTCTTCGGGAACCGGCACGATTGCTTGCGCGTCGGGATCCGTGGCTTGAATTTCGTCGTACGTCTCCATGTCCTTAGCAAATGCCGTTCGAAACATCTCCGATATCCTATTGTATTCTGAATAGACATTGCTTTCGTCTACTTCGGAATGTTCGACTAGTGCTGTGGTCGGCTGTGAAATGAGACCCAAAATAGGGTTAGAGTTAGATTCTGGTGGGACATCAACTGATTCATCCAGAGGTTCCAGTTTGGGTTCAACTTTCGGGATGATCGAGATTGCAGCCGTATCGGCGTAGCCGGTGGCGATAGTGGTGGTGTTAGGAGGATCAGGGTAGAGATTAAGATCAATTAAAGAACCCATTTCTTTGTCAATTGTGTGCAAGGAAACGGAGGAAGAAAGAATGAATTTTTCCTAAACGCTCATGGATGGGGAGAAAACGAGTGCAGAGTGGTTAAAAATGATGTATTGGTCTAGCGATTGTGTGAGGGGAGCTGGATATTGAGAGAGAGAGAGAGAGAGAGATGCAGAAATTACGATAAAGAAAGGGGAAACCCAATGTCAAAAAACATGTGATTTTTT